AAGTCACCGGCGTCGCAGCGTCGATTCCATCCTATTGGACGGAATCAACATCCTCGAGTATTTACTTAGGCTGAAACGTTTGTTTCTTTAGGATCAGTGGCGATTTGTCTCTCGTCGCTTCGCAGCTACCGTGGATCGCGTTTGTTTGACGACCTTTCGTCGCCACTAATAAAGTTAAATATATACCCAAGCATTTGTAATCGTAACACACGCGCGACGTACGTGTATGAAATATAATTTAAGAAATAGATGAACGCTAAAATAAGTTTTGCTGTGTGAGTTTTGCCGGAATACGTTGCTTTCTCGATTCGTGGGTAACGTTGATAAAAATAATTCACGTGCTAAAAAAAACGGGAGAAAATAATTGGAGTATTTGAGCAGAATTTCGCAAAATTTTAATCTTCAGATATCGGATTTATGCTGGATTCTGTTTGCGTATCTCATTATTTTACACTCTACTTTCGTCTTGTCTATTTGTCACGCAGCGTTACTTCACTCATTAAACTAATTTCTGGTCTCGTACATGTAGCTTTAACGAATCCTGCGTCTCGAATATTGCGGCTACATGCGCGATATAGTTTTAAACTGTGGACTTGCATAATGTATGTCGCCATTCGAACGCGAAGTTTCCCATGAGTCTGCCGGTGCTTCCTAGCGTAATTCCGCGATTTAAAGCGGCAAGTTCGCCCCCGCGTTCGGACGCGACGGCACACGGGGTTCCCATATCAGGCATGCAAAGCTTGATGTATCGACGCTCTATGACGACGGCACGAGGACGCTGAATACAGACCGCCCACCCCTCGAAAGGCGAACGTCATCTCTCGACGCTGCAAAGTTACCCTAATGGGTAGATTAATCTCCGATAGCAGCGAATAAGCTAACCGAGGCCGTGTTGCGCAAGTGGTGCATTCACGACAGATTTATTCTTCTCGCCTTCGTCTCACTCCGTCACGTACGCCGTTATTATTCATCATCCCCTGTCCTTCTGTTCGACGAATTAATTTTTCACCGTCGCGCTTCCTCGCAGAAAATTTTACCACACCCAATGTTTTCCGCAGCGATCTGTCCTCCTCTCGAGGCGAATGCGGTACCGGCCAAAAGTATATCACCTTCAGGTCCTCCGGGCATAACTTTCGTCGAGGTGCACCGAATGCGCTTCAAAGTTTACAGTAGACGCCTGATAACGCGTACATCTTGCACACGAAGGGTAACGAAGTTTGACAAAGTGCATCATGATTCTTCAATTTTTCACTCGAGCACTTCAAAATTAGTTATGCCCAAAAGATCGAAAGGTGATATATCATTGGCCCGGCGGTGCTGTAACCTTGCACCAGAAATTTTGTTCCTCTGAGGGGCGTCTCGTCGAATTAAAGGATATAAGATCGTTCATCTCTCGCTTCTCCGAATTCTATTTTTACGTCTGGCCGTGTCTCGAACCTCCCGTGCGTTTCTCGATCCTGCCAAGTTCTTCCAGACGTTGACCGCGCCGTGCATCTAAATATCTCAATATCTTCGGGCGGCTCGAAAAAGAGACGGAACGACGGAACATTGAGAACTCGGCTCGTGGAGGTGTATCTCAAACGGGATCTTCTTGCGCCTCGCTTAAGAAAGCCCAGGTCTCGCCCGCGTTCGTGAGGTTCCCGGAGGGCGGCCCGAAATGGAATCATCGATCGATAGCCGATCGGCTCGCGGGGCGAACCTTTCAATCATGCGACACCTATCAACCGCGGTTGGCTCCCAGTGTTCCAAATGAGACCCTATGCTCCGGAACGGGCCACGGACGAAAAAGTGCCCCGGCCCTACGCGATGCTATCAGTGATTCATGAGAAACATTCGGATATATATTTGGATCGTCCCGGTAACGCGCGGCTCTCCCGTCTCGCGGTGAAACAACCGCGGTAATCTATGGCATCTCGCTCGGCCGGTTAGATAAACGGCGAATTGCGGCGAAATTCCGCGTGTCGAAAACCGAGGCTTATAATTGCGACGGCCGCGCGACTGATCGGCCACGAAGATCGCCGCGCGATTGTCCCCGTTACATTTTCTGCTTTGACACCGTCGCGCTCGGCGTGAGTTTCGCAAATGCGATTATTAGCTTCCAGCCCGAATCTTACGCATAATCTGTTGCGCAATGCACAAGCTGGAAATATGTTCTCAGAAACGACAGTATAGAATGCCGCAAAAAGATTCGTGATTGAATTTAGACGTTGAAAAGACCTGCTATCTTGTATTAGAATCCAGTCTCATAATAGAGGACTTTCTTCTACATTTAGAAATAATGAAAGCAAGAAAATATGTGTTTCATATGTTTGGTGGATTCGTCGGTTTGATTTGTATCCATTTTTATCAATGCAGACTACTTTAATTCTCGGTTAACTTAGTTTTTATCTTTTCTTAACTCTTAGGTCTATTTGGAAAACGATTAAAGATAAATTAAATCAAAGTAATCGTGGCAGCAATGTATCTAAGACAGTCAAGAGCGTTTTGAAAATCTAAACGTTATTAAAATCCTAGTTCCATG